AAGCAAAAAGAACAAAAAGGTACAAAAAAAGAGAAAAGGAAATGACAAAAAGAGAAAACAAAATAAAAGAAAGAGAAAGATTGAGGAGAAGGTCAATAGAGAGCCACCATAATAAAACAAAGAGACAGCAGCAGAAGTCAAGAAGGAGAAAAAAAAGATGGAGGCATATGGGGGAGAGAAGGAGGACGTTCGGGAGGTGAGGCGGGGAGGGGCTGGCTGGCGGTAGTCGCCAGCAGGCCGACGAGGGCCTGACGTCACGGGGAGTCTGGGAGGTGTCTAGGAGGTGTCTGGGAGGTGTCTAGGAGGTGTCTGGGAGGTGTCTGGGAGGTGTCTGGGAGGTGTCTGGGAGGTGTCTGGGAGGTGTCTGGGAGGTGTCTAGGAGGTGTCTGGGAGGTGTCTGGGAGGTGTCTGGGAGGTGTCTGGGAGGTGTCTGGGAGGTGTCTAGGAGGTGTCTGGGAGGTGTCTGGGAGGTGTCTGGGAGGTGTGTAGGAGGTGTCTGGGAGGTGTCTGGGAGGAGGGAGGTGTCTGGGAGGTGTCTGGGAGGTGTCTGGGAGGAGTCTGGGAGGTGTCTGGGAGGAGTCTGGGAGGTGTCTGGGAGGAGTCTGGGAGGTGTCTGGGAGGTGTCTGGGAGGTGTCTGGGAGGTGTCTGGGAGGTGTCTGGGAGGTGTCTGGGAGGTGTCTGGGAGGAGTCTGGGAGGTGTCTGGGAGGCGCCTGAGCAGGAAGCCGACGAAGTAGTGCATGTTGCCGTCGCCTGAGTGACGCGTCGTCGGACAGTGGACAGGACGCGTCGTGGCCGTGTCACGGTGCGTGTGTCCTGCAGCCGCCCGAGTCGGTTATGCGGTCCTCGACGGCGGCGCTGCCGACAATGGCGCGTACGACGTGTCTACGATGTGACTGTGACCGGGTCGTGGCTAGGAGAGGTGTCTCGCCGATGTCGTTCCCGACAAAGTCGCAAGAGTGGTCGAACCCGCGCACGTACCGGTTGGAGTCCTGGCGGGAAGAGGGCTGGCGCTAACACGCCGCGCGTGGCGAGGGGAGGGCGGCAGGGTCGCGACTGCGCGCCTGGCAGTACGAGTACGCCTCGCCGGGGTGCTCGAAGCCCTGCTCGCGCCCTGCGGTCGGGAGGCGCGGCTGCGGTGGGGAGGCGCGGAGGTGCTGCTGGCTGCTGCTGCTGCAGGGCAGAGAGGCGGACGCGTGGCGCGGAAGCTAAATCTGCATCGCTCG